GGCTCGGCCGGGTAGTATTTAATTTTGATTTGATTTCATTTATCTTTGGTTTCATTTTATTTCTATTTTACATTTTACTTTCACTTGCTTTTATTTTAAAAAGAAAAATGAGAAATAAATCGAAATTAAAACAAAAATAACAAAAATAATTCCTATAAATTTGAATATTTTTAATGGCAGTTCTCGGCCACCACAGATGTCCTTCCCCAAGGTTATCCGTTCCATCCATGCCACGTGATGCATCATATGATCGTTTTCGCGCCATTTCCAATCGTCGTGTTATCAGACGGAAAGCCTCACAGAGTAGTGTGTGAGGAGATTCGGTACAGCTTCTCTCACATTTTACTTCAAGTCGTGTAGCAGTATGTCTTTTCTCGAAGAAAGTAACTATGAAAAGAAACGAAATATTGCAATTGCAACAAACCAGGAGATGTTCGCCAGTCTTTTTCCCGAAGGAGTTCGATCTTTGTACCCGCCAGCAACAACTTCGCAGCCCTCCATCAAGAAGAACAGAGTGGAGCGTAGACAATCCGAAGTTCCATTACTCAGAAGACGACTTCCTAAACGTAAATGCAGATCCTTTGTCGGAAAATATGACTCAGAGAAAGGTGAAGACGAAGAAGACATGGAGGTAGAAAATGTTCGCTCTCCAAACACTCTTATAATCAAGTTGTGGCCTTCGCGCAGTTCCAAGATGCAAAGTTCATCTGGAAGCGAAGATTCAGACAGTTCAACGAAGCGAAAGAGACCGGCTCCAAAACGACCAACTATGTGTCCTGTCCAAATTACCGAAGATGATTTAATACTGGTGGCAGAACGTGTGTGCGACAAAAAATATGATCAGATGAATGGATCCTCGTGTCACCAGTGTCGTCAGAAAACAGACGATCTGAAGACAATATGTCGGAGCTCGAACTGTATTGGAATACGTGGGCAATTCTGCGGACCTTGCCTCAAGAATCGGTACGGGGAAGACGCCAAGAAAGCCTTAATGGATCCAAAGTGGCAGTGCCCTTCTTGTCGCGGAATTTGCAACTGCAGCTTTTGTATGAAGAAACGAGGTCGAAGATGTACTGGCATAATGATCCATCTGGCTAGAGAGCGCGGATTCAAAGATGTGAAATCCTTCTTAGGTGACTGAAATGGACTAGGCGGTAAACACAAACGTTCACATCAGCTAGTTTTTGTTTTACAGTGAAAAAGTCTGAAAGTTTTTGCTAGTTTTTGTCTGAAAGAGTCCTTTTTACTTTTAACTGAATTGATTGCTAATTAAGTTTTTTGCATGGAATATTTTATGTTAGAAATTTGCGGTTTGAAATTTGAATTATTAATCATTGAATGAATTAACCTTCTTGAATAATATGCTCAATATGTTTCCGAGAACTTACCAGTACTCTTCAATTTTATATATGATATATATGTATACGATCTAGTGAAATTAATGTTTTAATATATATCTATGTATGCATTTACCATAGCACTGTTAAGTCAAGAATTGCATTTGAGTAAGTGGGAAATTATTCTCACTCAGTATACAAAGTACATAGCTGTTGTAAGATTAGATGTCTGTTGCATGGTTAAAGTATGCGTCGTAGTTTTTATGGCTGTTGTATGTAACTGCGCAAGAGGAGCACTTGAGAGTGTTGCTGTTGGTTTACATAGACTTGTCTCATTTTCAGAAAAAAACAGACAGGAGCTCACTGGCTTTCATTGATTGTAATTGAAATTTAGGAAATAGTTAGATCACTCAGGCTGTCATTAAAAGTGCTAAGGAATGCATTTTCCCTGGTGGTACTTTAATGGCTGTACCCTCCAGTGTTCCTCCAGAGAAGGGCACTGAAATTATTATATCAGGCTTACAATGGAGAAAGTGTACTTTGAATGTACACTAATAATTTAAGGTGTAAAACTACCCAAATGTTGAAGTCAGTTAGGAGATAGTGGTGCTCTTTAATTCCAGAACCAAAGTAGTGTCAGTTTTTAAGAACTTATATAATTGAGTGAAAAATCAGCCTTGCTCTGAGGGTGGTGTTAAATGCTACAGTGAGAAACCTCATTCAGATTTTTCCCTTGACATATGTGTGATGGTAGGATTTCATTCTAGAGAGAATGTTTAGAATTGGTGTATGTGCTGAAAGTAATTGTTAGATATGAGTAATTTTGATTTTTATTGGGACACAGCAGAAGCCTGATCTAGATATTTCTTTGATGAATTTTATTTAGGCAAAATTCTTGTAATTCAGTAGAAGAAAATATAAAAAAGTTAAAAACTACTATTTTATATCCTACATTACAGCTAATGAACAATGAATGTTTTCAATAATGAGGTTGGTTGTTGAGCCTGGGGCACAACAAAAAACCCTAATTTGAAATCTCCAGAGATTGGTTTCTCCTTAATATAGCATATTACTTGCTAATCCACTCCTGGATGTTTCAAATTTTTGGATTAAAAAAAATTATAGTTTACAGCAACCCTTCAGTCCAAATTACAATTTTATCAAGTACCAATCATCAAATGAAAAGAAATGTGAAAGAAACTTTTATATCATGGTAAGATGTTCCTGAAAACAGCTTGATTATAACCACTTGGTGATTTTTTAAAGAATGACTTCCTTGCTGTCCAGGTATACTGCAGTCAAAATCAATATTGACTCTCGTTTGGTGATTTCAGCAAGCTTAGAACTTACCATTTGTAGCTATTTATAATTCATAATTCAAATGGTCATCTGTGCCAGTTCACACGTGCTATACACATGTACTGAAGAATGACTGGCTATGAAGTACCTCCAAAATTAAGAAAACTGCACAATAATGACTACACACCTCCAGCTTTGCTTAGCAAGAAAAATTAAGAAATAAAAACAAGTGTCTGGCCTAAGAAAAAAAAATCCAAGTCTCATCACATCACAGAATTACTTTTCACAAAGCTGTTAGATGGTTAAGCAACATGCTCATTTCCACAATCATTCACCTGTTCATTGCAACCATGTTGCAAGCTTGTAGACTTCTTAACAGCTGTTGCTGGTGCTGTCTCTAAATGTCTCCATTCCCCCTCACACAGCTATAACCTAGATGATACCTTCAAACCATGAAGAGAGTTTCATTAATTTTATCATTCTTTATTTGTAATGTAATCCTGAAGTCAAGGATTGAGTGCCAAGTCTAAGGATGTCAAAAAAGTGTCACTTTCAAGTGAGGGTTGGTACAGACTTGAGCATTAACATAGATAAACAGAGGATGAAAAGAAAGAGTAAATTTTGGTGAAGGCTGTTTACGAATTCTGACACATGCAAATGCCTGACATGAATAAAGAATGAATCCCAAGCATCACTACATTTCAAGCCACTTTTAAAACGTCTCAAAATGACACTACTAACATGACTACAGTTGTTCCTTTCCCTTAATAACTGTAATTTTCACTTCTTTACTGAGTCCCTTCACTGAGTCTCACCAGCCTTTTGTATTGTATTCCACCTGCTTTGAATGGTCACTTAAAGTGGAACTACTATAATTAAAAAAAAATTAATTTTCCTCTACCAGAATCAACGTTAGTACAGTTGAACCTGTGTTAAGTGGTCACCTTGGGGAAAGGCGAGGTGACCGCTTCATACAGGTTGACCACCTAGGTTCCTGAGACTGGGGCTATTATAAGAAAACAACACACAACGCCACTTTCTGCCATAATTGATCACTTAATGTATAGAATCTCTTAAAAAATACTTTTTATTTTGATTGTGGGAGACTAAAAAATCACGTGAAAGGCTATTTTTAATTTTGTTCGCGTGCTTTCGACACTGGTGGAAGATAAAACAAAAAAGGCCATTGGGTTCCAGTAAAGGGTGACCGTGACCACTGAGAAGAGGTGACTGCTTACGGTGATGAAAATCATAGCGATTACACAATTCGAGACTTTGGCAACCGACCGCTAAATACGGTGCGGCTCGATTACAGGTTCGAGTGTAATATTTTTGAGCTAGTTTTTTTAACATAACGTGGTCAATTATGGCATAAAAAGGGGATTTGTATCGTTTTCTTAAGCAACCCTAATTCTGTGGAACCGGTGTTGAGTGGTCACCCCGCTGGAGGGACCGCTAAAATGAATGCAGTTTCCACGATCTCACGTTGATGTTTTCTGACCATACTTGTTGTGTATCGCAGGCGAATCCAGTAAGAGAGAATAGTTTTGCGAGAATCTTTCAAGAATAGTTCCCAGAAGAAACGTGCCTTTCGTGATGTTCTACCGTCTCAAAAAACGTTGAGCAGATAATGAGTACAAGAGCTACATCAACAGCTTTTTCAGACTTGATTCTGGCTGCTTGTTCACTGTATACAGCCTTGAATGTCCGCGAGATGTCTGGTTGTGCGGCTTTGGGTATGGTTTGTGTTGCAATAGCTGCCTCTCTTGGAGTTCTTAGGTTTGGTGTCGTCTTCCCGAACTTTCAATCTAAAGTGATTCGATTGCATGAACTGTTCGCATGGATTGCTGCAGTTTTAGGTAGGATTTCTGCATGAGTAACACAACTCAACAATTAAGTATCCTTGTGCACTTTCCCAAAAAACACGGCTAAACTTCAGAATACCCGGCCACATCATTTACATGTTACTGAATAACAATAGCGTCTATTGTGTTATGCCCCGTTCTTCAAAGCCTCCCGACATATGTAAATGATGTGGACGGCTATCCTTTGTGGAGCTCTTGTCTAATTTTTAGTAATAAAACAAATGGTCCCTCATTTTTTATTCTTTTATTCTTAATTTACCATTTGAGGTGTTATATGAGGAATCATTGAATTGATTAGTTTCTGGACCAGTTTTTTACATGTAGATGGGGTAGGGAGAGATGAAGTCACAGGGAGGGAAGGGAAATTTTAGTAAGGGGGGTTTATGTATGAAAAGCATCAAATGCCGTTTGGTTGCTGCTTTTGATGTGAAAGTACTTTTGATCAAATTCTGGTGCACGTTTCTTTTGACAGGCTTTCAGTCTGTAGGAACAAGCACTGCACATTTCCTATTTACCTATCTGCACTAGCAGATAACCTGAAACAGGCCAGGATCCACATCAGTTTAAATCTTGACCTGATAGTACTGCAACAAAGATTTACTGGGAGGTATTTCCTCACATCTTACCAAACCTATTGTTTAGCCACCAGGGTTTATTGGGAAAGGTTTCTTTGTCTTTACCTCAAGCATTTGAGGAATGAAGTTGAAAGAACACTGACTAAGGGAGACTGGAAAAGGAAAGATACAATCCACTATCCATACTTCAAAATAGACAGAATCTGAAATGAGGGCCAAAAGTGATCCACTTTATTTATAAATAGTGAAAAACAGTGCAGTGCAAGTTTTTCAGGGCCAAATTTGCTGATATGTAGACCTTACTATCTGCTCATTTTGGATGAGGTGTAAATAGTCCAGTAATGAAAAAAGGGACTAGAGTCCAGACTTGGTAGAAAATAATTTATGTCTTAGATAAAATTTTTGTAAAAGTAACCACAACATTTGGTTAAAATACAAACTGCAGAACTTTTGAAGGTTCCAAACTGGCTTGAACAAAAACTCAGAAAACAATAAATAACTTACTCTGGAAAACAAAAAAACAAAAGATAGGTAAGAAAAATGTCCACATCAATTTTCAGTGTTAAGGTTAAAGTTCTTTGATGTGATTGATTACTGGTAATTTGAAAAATCACAAATACAAAAAGTAGATGAATAGGGGAGAGGAAGAGGAAAAGTATAATCTTAAATTCAGTAAAACAAAAGGTAACAATCATTTGGATAATGTTTCCATGCTGATGTTGCTCAGAGTTGACATTTGTGACATACACAGAAAAGATCCAGTAGTTTTATGCAGCACTCTAGCTTATATAATGTTACAAAATACAAAATGCTATTTATGGAGGATTTACTAACTTGAGCCTGCAGACTATATTTGTAAATATAAATCAGAAGTTCTAAGCAAATTCTCATACAACTTTGTTTCCTCCTTTGTAGGTATTCCTTTTATTGGAGCAGGATTTTGTTTTTATCACCACAAACCTGCCAATGCCAAGTTTCATCTGATGAGTTCTGTCATTGGTCTTGTCATTTCGTTTGTCCACAATCCAGTGGAAGAGATGTTGACAAAGATAGTTAGCACTCTGGCTGTGTTGGGAATAATTTTTGTGACATTCATGAGTTCAAACTTCTATGCAACTGCTGGAGCTCTTGCTTATGGATTAGCAAGTGCAGTTGAGTCCATCAGTTTTCTTGGTTTGCCTGGTGTTGACTGGTTTCATTACATATTGGCTGGAGGAAATCTCCTTTTAATGCATGGTTTTATCAAATAGAACCATGAATTGACCAAAAAAAAAACCCAGACAATAAAGCTGAGGATTTTAAGCCCGTGAGAAGGAAGCTTCAATGGAGGACAGGAGAGACACGTTTCCTCATTTTCAGATCAAAAGAAAAGGACATAGCACGAGTAAGGATATCAACTTTTGTTGTTCTGTTCTTTCAAATTCTGACATGTTTTGCACAACATCAAAGTTTGTTTGCTGGCTGAACAGACCATGATGAGAAAGAGGGACTACTCCTTGTCAACTGACACTAGTTATCACTATGAATGAATTAGAGAGCCTATAAAAATTATGTACTTAATTTTTAGCAAATTTTATTCAAAGCAAGACCTCAGCAACTCCAGTATAGTGTAATTCCTCTGTGATCTGTACCTCCACACTCTTCCTAAAACAAAATACTGGTAGCATATATGTGCACGATCCTTTGCAGTAAAGCACTATTTAAGTAAGCAATAGTGAAAATCAGACCTGAAAAAAATTCAGGCCTGTACGGGATTCGAACCACTGACCTCTGCGATACTAGTGCAGCGCTCTACCAATTGAGCTAACAAGCCAACTGGGAGCAGGCCATCAAATTAATTCGACATAAACCCGTAAGATGATAAATCAAACAACAAACATATGAAATACATATATATGAACTGCGGTTATGAAACGTATATGTGCACGATCCTTCGCAGTCAGTGGTTCGAATCCCGTACAGGCCTGAATTTTTTTCAGGTCTGATTTTCACTATTGCTTAAATAGTGCTTTACTGCGAAGGATCGTGCACATATACRTTTCATAACCGCAGTTCATATATATGTATTTCATATGTTTGTTGTTTGATACTTGTAGCAGTTATTTGGGTGGATCAGAGTGTATATTGAATCTAAAGAATTAAGACATGGTTTACTTAAAAGCTATTGTTACACAGTGTTTGTGGATTCTTAACCAAAAATAAATAGAATAATAGCAAATTCTAACTCTAGTTCATGATTTCTTTGGCTACTTCTACTTTTTTGTTTTTCCAGTTTGAATGACCACAAGAAAAGCTACAGATGTCATACACTCAAAATCAATCAACTTAACACGTGTCCATGTGGTCATGCTCTCATTTTCAGCAACTACTGAAGACTGAATAGAAATAATTAAGGGAAGTGATAGAGGTTACTGAGCATCCAACAAAAAAACATGCTCACCTCAAGTCACTCCAAATCTATCACTAGCATAATTTTGTGAGTTATTTACACAGAATGGGTCACACTTGGGAGAAAAATATAACTTTTCTTAAAAAATGACCACAGAAATGTAAAACATCATTCAGAAACAAAAACTTTTTAGTCAAATGAGCAGTGTTGCATGAATGAGTGAAAACTGTCAGTGTTTTAACACATTGAAAACTGAAGAAAACAAAATCTAGAGTGCATGTTTACTTCTTGGAGGAAAAGGCACTGCAATCATGCATTGTGTTAAAGTTTATTTGGTGCTCATTGCAGAGTTATTATAGGTGGTTTGCAACCAATCTCTAGAGACAGGTAACAATGGTGAAAGAAACAAATGCTGGTGGATGAACAAAAGAAGCTAATGAGATATCTATTGTTTACGTCCACTAACATGGCGGCAATGACATAATGTGCAGACCACCTATAATTAACCTCAAAAACATAGAAATGTGAGGGATGGTGAAATTGAGAACCATCCATATCAAAAGCTTGAAGTTCTAGAAAATTTCCACATTTTTGAGTTGATGGTGTTTCCAATCTAGAAAGCTTCACTGACAAGTGTTGACAGTTACCCCATACCAGAAACAACTGATTGGGTAGGAGGGAAGGAAACTAAACCAAATTGGTAAGTTTCTAAAGTACCTCTGACTGGTTGCTGTGTTATAAGGGGAGTATAACTGCCTCCCAGTTAGCTCAATGGATAGAGCGCTGGACTGTTGTGTGGGAGGTTGAGGGTTCGAGCCCCGGCCGGACCAACACTCCAGGTCTTAAAACAAGTGAGAAGAATATGCTACCTTTCTATAACATCAAGAAATGGTTAGATATACTAGTCTTCTCGGATAAGGACTAATAAATAGAGGTTCCGTCTCCTGCAGGGTTGAGGGTAGGAGATGTTAATTTCCCCCGCACGAGATTACTGTGTGATGGATGTCCTTCTCTGGGGGGATGGGGGATGGGTGGGTTTGGTTAAGTGGGGGAACCTGGTAGGAGACTGCGTGTCCTACTGTTCTCCCACCTGTACAAAATGTACACATCTTTACAAACAAACAAACAAACAACTGAAGGTAATTTTGGTTTTATCAAGTTGGTTCATGGCGTAAATCTGCCACGGTAAAGAGTTTCAAAGCTTACTTTCCGAGTGTTAGCCCTTCAAAAATTCATAAACATACCTTAACACTTTTGCCATAGTATCATACACACACTGCACTTTGCAGGGCAATGAAAATTGTCCAAAAACAAGGGAAAATTTTGCTTGCAGATAAACATTTATTTTCTGGTAAATTCAAAGGAACGTGATGGGAATTTTAAGCCGGCCAAAAGTAGACACTAACTTAATGTGGAGTCAAAAATGTAGAATGATGCAGTGGGTAAACCCTCAAATTAACAAATCAACAAGCAATATAACCTTTCATTGCTTGCATGTAAATACATTTTATTTTTTGCCAAAACTCACTCTTTATTATTTAGTAACTTATGTTAATCTTTGTTAAAATTTTTGTCGATCACAGTTCAGTAGTTTTTCAAGTTATGGTTACAATTGTTTACCACAATTGTGGTCTCTGTCATTCAGTCTAGAATCTTAAATTGTACCATTTAACAACATTGTGGACACTGGTTCACCAAACTCAACCAGAGAGACAGTTAAGATGAAATCTGGAAATATATTTTCCAGCAGAAAAGAAGTCTTTCGTCTGTAAAGTATATTAATTTTACATCCAAAGTCATAAATTAATTTGCCAGATCATCGTAGTAGTTTGTAGAAAGATAACAGTAGAGAACAAATTTGCAGCAAAAGGATACTATTTGTTCCAACTAATCTTTGTTGCCAATGAGAGATAGACAACTGGTCAACAGTACTGACATTTAACCTAAGCAAACCGGCTGCTTAAACAGTGAACAAATATTGCTTTGAGGTACAATTAATTACAGTAAAAAGACCATCTTTTTAATAATTGATATGATTTTTCAAAACCTCTCATATCTGTTGGGAAATAATATACTGGTCAACAGAATTAAAATGGTGCAAATAAGTCTACGGAAATGCAAATTGTACTCAAAAGATAAATAGCAAATTAACATATTAAGCATCACTCTTGAACACTGGTTACAGTGCATTGAAAAAGTAAGTAACAGATGCTAAATAAATCTATGTACACTGTATCTTTTTCTTAGCAAAATTATTTCTAATTTTCTGAGCTCGGGATTTGAAAGATAATCATTCTCAACTTGATTGTATTTGCATCCAGCATTCTGTTGCACTCTGTTGGATCCAAAAGTACAAGATCATGATGACTGCTTTCTTGCAAATCACTTGTGAATTCGTGTTGATGAACTTCAGGTTTGATAAGCAAGTCACTGAATGGGCTTCGTAACATTAAGAATTTGACATTGACGTTGACTTTGCCTTTCTGTACAAGTTGATAGGTCAAGACCCGCTGTATGCTTTTCTCATTTCCAACCACACTTGCCTTCACCACCCACTGTTGACCCAAAGCATTGAATCTACTGCTTTCATAACAGAGCTGTGGGATAAAGTCATCTGAACGGTATGGCTTGAGCTGCAAGTCTACAGATGTTAGGAAGATGGTTAACCTGTATTGGTTAGTAGGAATGCATGCAGTGCTTAAAAAAAAGTGCTGTGTTCAATACCCTATGATACCTGTAAATGCAGTTGCTTGCAGTATGATGCAAAAAAGTTGCCAATGTAACTAACACAGAAAAGTATACAAGGACAGCTCACAACAAAGAAAGACTGTTTTAGCTGTCAGAGCTACTTCTTCCGGGTTGAGAAGTCCTATGACTTTGGGTTCAAACAACTTATTGTTTGATTTGTTCACATTATGCATTAACATTCATCCTGACAAAATCAAATTTGGTGTTGGATTGTTTGTTTGACAATGTAAACAACAATAACCCACAACTGTGGCAACCTTTACTGTACCATATTGCCCATCCCAGGCTGTAAATAAAAACTACAGATTATCTATAACTACTTGTTATTTTACAGTTGATACATGTACTTCATTTAGGGCCAGGACACACGAGGTGACAATTAAGCTGCTTTGAAATGACACAAGGACAACCTTGGCCATATGAAGTTCAGCAAAGCAATTTTGTGGCAACAACAGAATTTAATCCCCACCACACCTCCCACAAATTCAAACTGCTTTGACTTTTGGCAATGATCACAGTGATAACATGAGTCACAGCTCCTTAGTTTTCATGCAGTACACATGAAGTTCTTTGTCTGAGCAACATGTCTCTTAGTATGTTCCAGGGGTCAAAGTGTTAGTTAAGTAACCGTGAAAAATGTTGGTCTCACCATGGAATGATACAAACCAAGCCTGAAAAAATGGCCAATAGTCAACACAATCAGTAAAGAAATCAATATGAATCAAAACAACAACAAAAAAAAACCAAAAGCATTTCAATATAATTATAGTCACTACAATAAGACCTTGATCAACTACAACAGGTTGATTAATGAAAGAGGAAGAAAAGAAACTAACATTTGATACCTAATAATGGAAACAAAAAGTTGTTGATATTGTCAATCAAACAGTGAAAACAAATTAAAACAATCCATACACTGATATCAAAGGAACAACAATATTAACCATTTATAGCAATCTTTTCAAAGGACAGCAAGTTGAGGATGTTTTGGAAGAGATCCTGCTCATCTTTATGATTCCTATCTATGACCTCTAATGACTCCATCAGCTGCAGTCCAGTCATGCTGGGGTGATCACACTTATCCTCATGATCCCTGAGCTTGTGAAATGGACCCTCCCACAGGCAACCTATCCTTTTAAACTTGCAACACACAGGCCTGAAAAAACATAAGACACTAATCAAAGCTGAAATGCAAAATATCCTGTTTTGTTACTTTGGAGATTTAAGCATCTAACAGAGTGCCTTAAATAAGAGAATTGCTGAAAGACACAATAATATAAACATTAGTATGAAGCATGTCGCTGAAGGAAGATTTCCCACCTGCCAAGAGAAAGCAAAAGAAAGTCAATGTAAAAACATTCAAAAGTTATGATTAAGTCTCCTTAGTTATATTTGAATCACATTCCATACAGTCTGTCTTTTGAGGTCAATTAATTTCAATTCACCACCACATGGCTACTCTCAATTGGGCCTTTAAACTGTTCTATGACCATCATGAATAATTGGACACAGAAAATAAGAGTTCACATCATTTTCATACAAATCACAACCGCTAATGGCTAATCATGTCTGAGTGTGCTCCTAAACTGACTTGAGGTTTGAATCTCCATATTTACAAAATTCAAAGATTTTAGAATTGAATCTATTGGAACTGAATAGGGAAATGTTTGGAATATGGCACATTCACTGTGACTGGTCAAAAAATGACTCAAACTCTTATTTCTTTGTTTTAACCCAAGGAGTGTTTGCCTAAAAATGTTGCTTGAAGACTGTCAGTTTAGCTTGTTTCAGGCATTCAGTTAGTACCATAAAGCGTGATAGTAAATAGCATGATTTAAGCAGAGGACATTATATAAAACCAGGGAGGTTTGGGTTGGATTCGTCACCCATCTCATTACAAACCTTCTGCACATTTTCACTATTTCGCTCCTTTTACAGACTGCATGCCTGCAACAGACTAGTTCAGCTTAACACAACTAAGGATGTGCATTTTTGCCTCAAAATAAATTCTGCAGCCAATGTGTCCAAATTGTGATTTGTATGCCCATTCATATTCAAGTAGTTTGGCACTGGAGCTTTATTAGTGATAAAACATTCCTTAAAGTTTGACAATGGTGAACTTAAGTTATCTTATTATTCCCACTTAGATACTGAGCCAAGAATAATTCTACTGAAAATCATTTCATGTTCTAAATCCCATTTCCCAACAGTTATTTTCACCTCAACTGAAAAATATCTTGTGGTAACCAAACCTTCAGCTATGATCATTGCATGTAACCAGGAAAATTACATTTGTTGACTTATTGTGTTGATTTATTGTGTTATCAAACCAACACATTAAAATATAAGCACTGGGAGGAAAGTTGTATTGAAACTGCTATCTTAGCCACTGTGACCTGTGCACCAGTTCCTCTCCAGGTACTGATGTAAACATACTGGGAATTACCAATCAATGAAACATAGCACTATGGCGTAAATATTTGCTGTAACTCCTCCAGAGTTTCAAAGCTCTGAACAACCCCCCTCTCTAAAGGGCCCCTTCCCTCCTTCCTCCCCTCTACCAAACAAAGTTTAGTGCTGATATTCACTTAGGCTTGGAGGTGTTCCAGTTATAGGTAGGTCTCCAAGGCCCTGCCCCAAAAGAAAAATAAAATGGTGCACTTGGCACTCAGTTTGACTGCTACACAGAAGAGGGAAATAAGTCACTCTCATCATGGACACTTCTAGCTATGAGTATTAGTAAACTACCTGCCCCACCCCACACAAAAATGCCCCCACCTCCATCAGCCCTCTGCCTTCAAGCCTTAGAAATTAATAGGTCCCCAGGGGAACCTACTTAAAAATATACTTTCAATAAGTTTACATATTGCGTTACACCAGAAACACATTATTTTACACTTAAACAACATGTATACATGGAGCAACTTTACAGGCTTACAATGACTAATACACAATTTAGACACCATCTATGTAAAAGTGTGTACTTCATATTATCATTGTTTATTTTATACATTACATCTTTACTCACGAACACGTCAACACAAATGCATAAAATATTAATATGTTGGCCAGAAAACAGGATTTTCATGACACTTCACTTCCTGAACCTTTGAGAGTCACATCATGTGCTGATTTTAATGGGTCTGAAAACTTTACTAATGACACTGCTAATTTCAGAGGCACAACACAGATTTTAAGATTATATAGCTATTCAGTCAAACTTAATAACCCATCATATTCATGTATACAAAATGGTCATTAGTGTGAAGTTTTCCACCTTGCATTAGTCAAGAACATCTTTCTTCATGATTCAGGCGTTGAAACCCTGAGAAAGACCAAAGTTCCCTAGCCAAAATTCCATGGGTACTAATTGTTTGTTTTCATTAGTCCTGTTAAACAAGTTACATAATTATGCAAGTTAAAGGGTTAAAAGGTTGTTGATAGGCATGCATAGATTGGGAAGCCTTTGATTGACACACCACTCAGTGTAATCACCAACAGTCCGTGACTAGGTCACTTGATAGTCTTTCCACAGTCAGTTTGTCATTGACCAGTGGTAGCCTGACTGTCCAATTGATGAGCCAATGTTCTATCATTGATGGGGTTAATTTATTTTTTCAAAGAACAGTGTTTGGTATCAAAGTGGTAGGTTTTTAAATATAGAGAAAGCTTAGCATTCTTTTGAGGTCCTTTATTATGCTCACAAAGCAACCATTGTTAGCTTCATCTTTGTCTCCCACCATCTATTGTGGGCTCTCTGGCCCATCAAAACACTTATATATAGTTGAATAATATCCAAGCCCATGGAGTACTTTATTTTGTCAAAACTTTTCTTCTGCTCAGCCATTCTTCTGGCTCTGATTGCTTTCCATGCCAATCTCTATCCAGTGCATAAGCCATGTGACAGATCATGATGAATTTGGATGATAAAGTCATCCTGAATTCAAAGTAACCAGTGCCAGTTGAATCGCAATGCAGCTAACAACTTGTACCAAAACAAAGGACACCATGCCAAGGATAATTTGTGTAATTTGCTGGATTTTTGTCGTCACCAAAGAGCCCTGGGAGCTAGCTATCAAGTATTCACAGTAATACTCTTGGCAATGGGGTCTAATGGATAAGTGTCACCTTCTGAAGCTCTGAGTTCTGCTATGATTGGTGTTATGTTCTACAGCTGTGATTGGTGCATTTTGAGAAAGTGTCTGAAGTCTGCTGCTATCAAGCTCTCTTGTTTTATTTCTTGATTATGGGTATTTGTTAAAATTTTAATCCCAGTGTCCTTACTAATGATGTAAAGGTGAATATTCATGTGAATTACTTGCTTATCCCTGCCTGTGTAACAATAACTATCTCGTTCAATGATTACAACCTTGACTTCATCCTAAAGTGGGCGGTGTCTAGCGTTCTTGTAGAGCCAAACAAGAGAACCACAACACAGAGAGCCTCTGAGGGTACATAACATTGATCAAACACATCAACCACAGCTGTTAAAAACTGACCAATCCCGGCAGAGCATAATGCTTCATAAGGTCAAATGATAGTGGTCCACTTTCTTGCTTGCCCAGTTGAAGTCAAGCAGTGTGCAGTTGAACAATGGCAATACACATCAGAACTGACTGTATTACGAGAAAAAAAACTTTACCCTTGTATTTCAAATCTTGGTGGTCATTTTGTGGTTCTTTAAAATATTTGCAATTTGTTGTGCACATGCATCACAATGCAAGTTGAATACACCTAGATCAACTTGCTTTATTCTCATCTAATTCCACTTTGGAATTGCAAATGAAACAAAGTAACCAAATAAGTTTGGATAAAACATTTCCCGCATTGACATTATGGTCTTGATGAATGAATAAAGCACGTCCTGTTAAATTTAAAACACTGAGTCATCATTTCAACCACTTTATTTCACACTTTCAACTAAATATTGTTAACCTGTCATTAACATTGAATCAATATTTATACACGCTTAAGTATTAAATACACTATCAACTATATAAGTTTCTAGTTATAGTGCGCAACTCAAATCTACAACTTGCTTGATGTTTAAATGAATTACCATAAAAAATTAATTCTCTCTAATGTACAATATTGTAACAAATATTCCATAACAACAGATTCTTACATTTCTTTATGGTATGATATCAAGATAACCATTTATACTACTAACGCACCAAATTCGCTTCTTTGAAAGTGATAAAATTGAAATTAAGAATGATATGTTCCACAACACATATTCTTTGTAGAATGTTAGCTTGATGGGGAGGGAAATACCAAGCAAATGGAAGAGAAGCTTTTCTTGGAATTTAAATATTGGTGCTTAACACTTGCATCCCTTTCAACCAACATGCCCACACACAATAAGAGATCAAAGCAAACAAAGTATTGTTTTCACTACTTTATTTCACCAAATATATTATCAACTCATAAAATATTTAAGGCTGCAAAAGATGAAGAAATCAACAAGAGTAAAGCAATAATTCAACACAAAGAGACATTTTGACATATTGAAGAAGAAATGATACTGATACAAATACAAAGTTCACTTACCTGTTTAAACATTCCTTCTCCTCGTGGTTTTTCAAATAGCTCCGCGGCAGTTCATGATTACAGTATGGGCATTCTGCAGGAAGTTCTGAGATAGCTTTCTCAACTGCTAAGTTACGAGAACAGATATTGCGATTGATTTCCGTTCGACAATTTGGACATGTTGACTGCTCGTTTTTCAATCGGCTATCAGCCAAGAGATGTGTAAAGCATGAGGCACACATCAGGTGACCATTTCGGCACTGTATCAAAAATGAAACTTTAGTTAGTGTAACCTGAACAGGTTGTATTTTGGGCACCTTTCATAAGAAAATTTATTTTTCAATTATAGTATCATTAAAGCTAGTGAGAGCCACTCTGTAATTTGTAGTGTGGCATTTTCTGATGGTGCATTTTTTACCCTCCCCATCTTTTAACCCTATGTGTCATTTATCCTTACTAGTAATTAAAATATTTAACAATTGATAGTTTAAGGGATGACCGCCAAATTACACCAATACACACCAATACACAATTACTTGTAAAATCGGAAAAAAAGGATTGTCGGAATAAATTGATTTTTCTCGCCGCATTTGAAGTAAACGATAAGTTTTCGCCAACAGGTACATGTATTCCAAATTAACATGGAAACAACGTTTTTCAATTGACATCATTGCAGACTGATTAAAATGTTTGCACGACAGGAGACAATTCCTTTCTGGTAAAGATGTAAAGTTTGTTGGGAATCCTGAGAGGCCATGAGATTAATACTCTATCTGGTCTGATAAAAGAAATTATCGAAGGAATTAAATTTTCCACGCCTCGTGAAATCGATTATTTACATAAATATTTAAGTATAATTATATCACAAAATCTTGATGAAGCGTAGCTACGTACAACATCGACTTCTTCAGAGGCAATGTATTCTCATATTAAATAAATCAACCACAAAACGGAAAAAAAATCGAGACGAAGAGCTAACAAAATAAACTTCCTGACGGACGCGATCGGCACAGAATACTTTACAAAAACCAACAATTCTAGTAATAGTACGGTTGTTGCGTAGTGCAAATTAAACTCGTAACGTGATTCGGCGAGGATCGCAATAAATTTGACCTTTAGATATAAAATTAACCTTATGGAGCTGTGCAGAATAAAGAAAAAATAGAGACCTTCTTCACAATACAAACATACAAAACCTACAACTGGGTGTAGCGTTACCAGATAGTTATCGGATGGAAGACAATAACAAAGCGGGCTGGCAACGAAGGTACTAAACGATGCAACCAGAATTGACATCACCGAAAATAATTATATTTTTGAATCCAGAAAGACCAGATTATTTCAAGTTCACAATAGTTTCCATTAAGACAAACAGCTTGAGATTTCATCCCTTGATTTAAGTAATTTTATTCCTACCTGGAAAACTGATTTGGTGGGCAAATCAAGGCAAACGGTACAGCTGAGGATGTCGTTTAAACGAGCCTCCAATTTAACTAGCCGATCGCTTTTTCTGTCGTCCCTTAATTTTGCTTTCTTTAATGGAGGTTCGATATTTTCTTTTTCGGATGTATCTTCCACCTGTATGGAACCTTCGGCTTCTTCCTCTGACATACTCCCTTTTTTTTTTTGTACAAAATCTGACGCCCTTAAAGACACCGCTCGGCTCAACCGATCGATTTGTTTTGGTATGAACAGTTGATGAGATGATGTAATGTTTACTTCTCTGCGCCTGCGTCATAATAGAACGGAACAAAGTTCAATCGTTCCATATAAGGTAAACACTCGTCACGAGACCCTCATGCTAAACCTGTAAACTAGAGAGATA